ATATATGTGTATATATATAAATATATATGTGCATGTATGTGTATATGTATGTATGTATATATATGTGTATATATATATGTATATATATATATATATATATAAGTTTGTATGTCTTGTATGTTATATATTAACGTATGAATGTATGTATGTATGGATATAGGTATGTGTGTGTGGGTGGGTGGGTGGATAGATGGGTGTCTGTGTGTATAATATATATATATGTGTGTGTGTGGGTGTGTCATATACGTATTGCAACTTAAACTTCATACATTCACATGCACAGACAAACGCGTACAAACACAAAAACGAATACGTACACGTACATACTTTCACACGCCATACATATATTTGCACATGCACGGATAAGTTCACAGGTGCGTACATAGTGTATATTATATTTTTTCTACTATAAGTCCTTTTGGAGTATAATTTGATAGTGTTGGGTTATTTTCAGAACATTACATGCGATTTTCAATCAATAGTGCAAATGTATATACCACTCCACATCCATACATGTACAGATATACATATATTATATATCTATATCTATATCTATATATATAGGTATACAGGTATATCTATAACTATATATATATGTCTATATATATATATCTATATATATATATACATATATATATATATATATATATATAATTATAACTATAACTATGTATATTTCTTATATATATATATATACGCGTACTTATATATGTATATTTATGGAAATATCATCTATGGGTATAGTATATATATATATATTATACACGTACGTATATATGTATATTGATGGAAATATCCTCTATGGGTATAGTATATATATACTATACCCGTGTGGATATTTCCGTATATATGTATATTTGTAACTTTAACTATGTATATATTCTATATATATATATAGCTGAGCGTGTTTGCGTGCATGCGTGTGTTTGTTTGTCTTCGTATATTGATACATATATATACACAGACGTATTTATGTATACATATTTATAGAGATATATTTGTATATTTGCATATATATGTTTGTGTAGGTATATGCATATATATATATATATATGTATGTATGTATGTATGTATGTAATACATATATACATACGTGTGTATGATCTGTATATATATATATATATTAAGTCTCATCAGATCCTTTCGTATTTTATTTTCCAATACAGTTGTTGAGCCGGGGCAGCCTGCTCTACAAAAGATTAAAGAAACATTCGGTGAAGAGTTCTTCCTGGAGGATGGGACTTTAGATCGGCCAAAGGTGTGTTATCCGATGTGCAATTCTTGAATTCATGCATGTGAGTAGCCCGGAGGCTTCCTGCGCCTTTGCCTAAGTATACAGGAACACAGGAATACGCAAAAGACCACCGCGTCGTATCTTATGGATTTTCTTACCTTAGTGTTATGTAGTGCTTTTGTAGTATGATCTGAACTTGTACGTCAGCTGCGGTTATGCGTCAGGTTTGCCTTTCGTATACAGTTGTTCATACTTGTGTATTCGATTATGTTAAACTTCAGTTTGCGGAATGCACTAATGTAGCAGCAGTGCATGTGCACTCTATCCTTGCTTAAAAGTACATGGACTGACTGTGTGGTTACGCCGGCCAGGATGTAGATATGAGCAGGTGGCTAAAATACCCAGATTTTTCTTCGTTTTAGCTAGGTCAGCGTGTCTTTGGGGATGAAGCTGCCCGGAAGCAGTTGAATAAAATCACGCACCCAGGTATGTCTGCCAAATCTGATGTGCAAATGAGAGAGTAGTATGTTCTCAGAGCGGGGAATCAGTTTTTTGAGTCCATGGTTTGTTGCGGTACGATCTTTCGAAAACTTTAGGTGTACATTTTTCTCCGAATAATTGTTTTGAGTTTTCTATCGATTTGTGTTTCTCAATGAACAATTCAACGCCATGTCACCATGGAAGTCACGCAGGCAACAAATCATATTCTGTACTTTTTTTTTCAGCGATACAGAACTTGATGATTAAGAGGATGATGGGGTACTTTTTCACCGGTAAGCGTTTGACTGACTCCGCACATGTGGCTTTTCATGAATAGTGAGCCTGCACACAGTGACGTGGTCTCTGTTTTTCAAAGTGCACATCCAGTGATGTACAGTGAATGGATCAAGGGTACTGGATATATATATATATATATATATATATATATACTGTAATGCGTGTGTGGTCCACGTGTAGTAGTGAGTCTTGCTGGATGAATCAGGTGTATGAGGGGTTAATTTAAGGGTGGAATACCAGTGCTGTGTGTCTAGTGATATTGGTTTTACAGATATGATGAGGCTGTAAAATGTACACCAATAGAAAAAAAGCATGGGCTGTGAAGTAGTGTAAAATTATAGGTGACGAGTGACGGACTGCAGACGAGGCCGGTCGGGCACTTTGGAGGGATGGTGTGTCGGTATTCAGAGGGGGTTGACGATAGGCAATATCTAGTTAAGACTATATAACTCAAGGTTATGTGATGATCAGTCCTCATAATCTTGTAAGCTATTACACTACTTTGATCATATAAAGTATATCGTTATTTCACTTTAAACCGTTCGTGAACTAAACAAGATACTCGCACTATATATATATATATATATATATATATTTGTATTTATATTTATATATAGTAATGGTTGTATCCAGTATTGCGCGATGAAACGAGTTCAAGGATATGAGTGCCAAATTTGGAAGCAACTACACTTAGGTACTCAATATATTGATGTTGATACGTATCGTAGGGTTCACTGACGGTCTCCATATTTTTTTAATACCTGCCACTTTTGGGCTGTGAGCACAACACGTTGATTTCAGACCCGTTTCTGCAAGAAGTCTTTGTCGCTAGTCGTGATACTTTCTAACTTGTCCTTTGCACGGCTTGACTGTTCTAGGATACCGCATGGTGGTGTTAGACGTGCCCTTATTGTTTGAGAGTCGAGTGTTGCTTAAGATCTGCAGCAACACTGTTTGTGTATACTGGTAAGTCATCACATGTGAGCTGGGGTCTACACTTCCTTACACTATTAGTAGACAGGACAGTTCGTATTGATTTGCACACTCCACTGCTTCGATGGCTCTGGCTGAATTGGCATCCGTTAATATAAATGTGAATTGGCATCCGTTAATATAGCGTTCAGGTGTAATTGGCATCCGTTAATATAGCGCTCAAGTGCTGATATCGGACGCATCACCTTCATACCCACGACAGCAATGCAGACCAAGAACTCGAAAGGTTGATGAGAAGAGATAAGTTGGGACGAGAAGATGCGGAGAAGAGGATAGGCTCGCAGGTAGGAACGGCTGTTCAGGGCTGCATATCCACAGGACCTGCTACACCGTTACGTACGATTGTTTTCATTTGATCGTCATTGCGCACATATTGGATCGTGGGATTTTTTATTATTTATTTATTTTTTTGATGATTTCAAAGCGTATGGATAGTGTCTTGGGCACCTTTGCTTCAGTGCATCTGTTGCGTGTGCCGCACATATGCAGAATTTATCTAGACTAATTTATTTTGCCGGTTTTGTGTAATACAAGACGCATATGATCACATTGAAAGTGTATTCTGAGTTGTCATAGCAATTGGGGCAGCTGCAGGTTTTCCCTCCGTACGCGCTCGTTGTTCACTTTTGCTATTCATAATTATCCATCCATTGCACTTTAAAGCAACTTCTTGTTCCGGCAGAGTCTCGTTGGTACTCAGCCATATCCATGTATCATTCTCCGTTTAATAGTTTTTGCTTATATTAATCATTCTCACATGCCTATTATGTGGGCAATATCGTCCCAAGTACTGTCGAGACCGATTACAGATTTCGGCGTAAATCCTTTCTCATTTGTATTTGTCTTCTTGCAACGCTCAAAGATGCCCTTGGAAGACAAGGCGCGGGAATCCGACTACATTATAGATAATACAGGCGATTTGGAGACACTCAAGGAAAGGGTATGTATTCTATAGCTCCCATCTACTGTCGTTTCTCTCGTTCTTCCATGTGTGGCTTCGTAGTATTATTTATATTGACAAGCACGCAGTCACGCGCAGTGTATATTTGTCGCTATATCCGTTGATGAATATGCGTTTCATCTCTTGCATATTTTACAGGTAGAGGAGCTTGTGGCGACTGTAACACCTACGTTCATAGAGGCGCACGGAGTTAAGATTCTGGTTACAACACTGGTGATTTTCGTCTCGTTTGTGTCCGTGCGTAAGTTTGTGTTCGGCGGCTAGTAGCCCTGGTATATGAAATAAATTATTAAGATTTCGGTGATATGGATATGATTTGACTATCCAAAACAGATTTATAGAATGTATTGGCGTTGACGAAGTGTAGCTGGCTGTCCTGCTGCGGTTGGCAATTCTAAGATTATATTCGAATCTTTTTAAGAGATATGGAAGACACGAAGTATTGAGTGTGCTTTGTATGCACCTTCTCACATTTATATTCGGGTGCGATTTGTAGTAGACTGCAATTTGTAATCAACTTGGGAAAGAGAGAAAGGATACGAACTAAAAGCTAGTCAAAATTTTAATATTTTCTACATGTTTACCCGCACGTTGTTTGGCAGCGTCGGGTACTATTCAACTCTTGTCGAGTATTCTATTTCATTGTCCACTTGAATTATATTCACAATTTACCTCTCCCAGTCAAACAGAAGCTAAGTCTCAAAACGGTAAAGTGGTCTTCTATAGTCCGCTAACTACTATCAGGGTGCTTCAAAATTCCGACCGGCTACAAGCCTGCCGTGAAACACTCAATCCCTATCACTAATTTATACTTCATAGCACACACACTGTAAACCCATGAAGCACATCCAGTGTAAGGTTACCACGGCTCGTGTTGGCCGATAAACTGTGCCATCTAAGCCGAGGTGGAGCCGGATCTCCCGTCTCTGCCAATTGGCACCAAAGACGACACCGACGAGTGTCGCCGCAGAGACTGTGTGGTGCCTATGCAGCCGTCTAAGCCAAAGACGCCACTCTTATTCTCTTCAATGTAAACACACCCCTTGATGACCTTGGTGGTAACCCCGTGGTTGGTACGCAGGTGGTGTTGTAATGAGCGCCAGGCTTCATACCGTCTCTCGCACCCAGGCAGAACACACTCATAACCCCTGTTCAATTCTGTGGGTCGTCGGCGGTATCGTTTTTTAGCGGCAGCATCATCCGTGCCAGATGTTGGGCACATACTCGGGCTGTTCGATTTTGTTTCAGGACTCTCTATACGATTTTCGTCGCGGACGTTCTCTAGGCTCTTAAACTGACGCATGGAGGTCAGCTGGCTGGATGCCGGTTCCAATTCGGCCGACAGAATGTCATTAATATCATTATTGTTATGTAATTCGTTGTTACATGCATTGCTTACGTTCGGCACAGATGAAGCGCTTGGCAGCGTGAAGGAATGTCGCGGGCTGGCGACGTTGACGATATTGTTGTCGCTGAGATTCTGGAATTGCCCAAAAGACGTCAAGTTTGTGGTACCAAATAGACTGCTCGTAAGATTAAATTGCGCGTTGAGCTCGTGAAAGCTAACAGGAGTTGGGGCGGTGGTTCGATCCATTGACATGTTCGTATCGATACCTGCGAGTGCGTTACCCTCGGCGCCGAAGCTTGCACCTAAGGCCAGATGCGTCAGACTACTACGACCTCTTTCAGAGAAAGAAAACGTCGAGAACGTATCAAGGGGCGAATTGGCATCAAACGGCGGGCTTGTATCGAACGGCGAATCCGACGTAAGAGTCGGGAAGTTGCTTGTGGGCTCCGGTGACGTGTTGTAATCTAGTATGTCATAGACAGACGGGTCCACATTGTAAATGGCTGGATCGACAGTGTCAAGCAAGTGATTGAATTCAGACATAACGTCTGAAAGACTCACATCCATGCTCATACTCGACAAACCATCATTTGTACTGATCGGAAACTTATACAGCAGTCGATCTTCCTTGGTAGTAGGACGACTGACCATGGACGTGTGCCGCTTCGCGGATTGCTGCTTTAGTTCACGCGTAGACGAATTCTTCACTTCAAAAGAGTGGAATAACTTCATCGCGCTCTCTGGCAACGACGATGGGTATTTACTACATGACACCATTGTTCAGAAGTTATTTGATCTGACTGACTATATTTGATACACATAAAATGGTGAAGCAAGCATCCTGGATTTCACATATATACTTCAGTACATAGTCCCAAACTGATATAAAAAAAGCCGTTTGCTTTCTGTTGTTTTTTTTCTACTTGTGTTCATGCCCGACGTGCCGTAGTAGTTCAGCTTTGCCCCCCTGGTCCCTTACATCGGCTCAGGCCTCACCGTCGCACCGACTGTGAGTCTGAGACTCTCAACTTCTCAAATCTCTGAAAGTCCAGAGACCAGACTCTCAGAATCTCACTCCAGACTTATAACTGCCACACGAGAAAATTGCTCAGGCCAGCTCTGCCCTCCGGACTGTTCAGTCACAGTGGCTCACAGAGTTAGTGAGTCACAGCCTCACAGGCTCACACACAACAAGTGAGAGGGAGCTGTCATTTTCACGTCAGTCCACTGTCGTCGGTTATGGACTCCCTCACTCCCAATGAGTGGATCCAAAATATATTGGGCACATGCGTCCTCTCGAGTTATTCGACCTATTCGAGGCCCAGGTTCTCAGGCTTAGGGCGGCGCTTAGCCCCCAGCAGAGAGCCAAGGACAGGGCTAGTAGCTCTACTCTCTAATAGAGACTACTACTACTTAAAGTAGGGACGCCGGACTGCTGCTACAGAGAGTAAGGCCCAAGGGGGCCCAGGGACCCTGGAGCTCTGCGGGCCCAGGCACTCCTTTTCCAACTTTCAGGAGTAGGGTCATATCACAGCAGACACAGCTCAGATTCGAATATGAGAAAACTAAAATTTAAATACAAATGTACCAATTTCCAATAGTGTCAATGATATTTCTTTAATTATTTCAATAAAATATATATTTCTTGCTCTCATCTTTTTACCAAAATCAAATTGTTCCTTGGGAAGCCTGCTGGGCAGCCTGGGTGGGCTACCTGAGAATTGAGATATCCCTTTATCAGCATTACTCCTGCAGAACCCAATTTTCCGGACATCGGTTCCCGGTCCGTCAAAACTCAAAAGCCGAAACAGCTGATTGTGCGTGCAGCGACTTATATTAATTTTGCCCTCCATAGTTTGTACCTATATAGCGTCGAAATACACTTGGAAGTGGGATTAGGGCTGCCCTTTAGGTTACTCAGTCCCGTGGTGTCCTGGCTTGAAAATAGACCTAAGCCTTTTCGATCTTTCCTCTTTCTGGTTATTCCGGGCTGTTCTCTCCTGACAGTTTCAAAAAAAATTAAACCACGCAAATCAATAAAGAGAAGAGTCGAGGACTCGATGACTCAGGACTCCAGGAGTCAGGAGTCAGAACTCAGTACAGGGCTATGGGCACACTCTACGAACTCTGTATGACTCATGAGTCAATCAGTGGGATTCAAGTGGTTTGCAGACTTTTTCTGTTTTCTCTTGTGAAAAATTGTGTAGGAAAAGCCATTATTCTCAGAATTTTAGTATCCAATGCCACAGCGCCACGCGCGCGATAAAGTCCAATACCTACTTACCTACTGAGCTAACTAGTTGAGGTACGGCATTCTGGTATTGATGAACTGATTTGGACCTTATCTCGCGACTCGCGTGGCATTTTATTCCCAAAAAAAATAACATGCAATAAGCTAATAATTACCATAACCTTCTGTGTATACTGTATTTTAATTCAGAAGACTACTTTCTAATTTTAATACTAAATTATTGTCGATGCCCTAAAATTCTAAAATAGAACGTACTTTTGTTTTTCTGTTTTTGACAATGCTCGATCAATTCATTGTGGGGCTGGACCAATATATTGTCGATTTAATTTCCGTGACATTCCAATGAATTTTATTGGACCTTATAAAACAAATCTATAAATAGTTTACTGTTTGTCTGTTATCAGAGATTAATTCCGATTTTCGTTTGTATAAAAATACGAATTGTACTTACTTTGCAAATATGTATATATTTATATTGCATAGCCTTCTTGTCTAATAATAGATAATATTCAGAAGTCTCTCTTCAACTATTGTGCATAAATTAAAAAATTGCTTGTTTTTTTTTTGTAAATATCATTGATTCTACTACACTTTTAAATTTTTGTCTTTTTAAAAAAGCAAACCGTTTTTTTTTGAGACCAAGACAGTGACCAGTAAAGAGTACGGAAACTGACTGAGACTCTGCGCGAGTCTGAGAGTGACCACTGTCGACTGTCTAGTCGACTGAGAGTCTGAGAGTCTCAGTCTCTGAGAGACTGAGAGTCTGAGACTGAGGACTGAGTCTGAGACTTGAGAAGTTGAGAGGCCGGAAAGGATCCTAATGCATAGGAAGATTACGAAGAGGCTAGCTATAGTCTCTCCAAAGACACTTCTCCAGCACCTACATATCTCTCTGTGTCGAAGAGACTGAGAGTCTGAGAGTCTGAGACTCTGAGACTCTGAGACTCTGAGACTATGAGACTGAGAGTCAGTATAAATATACATTTTTATACAAAAAATCTAATAAAAAATGCACGAGCTTCTATGTAAATAATTTACAGTACATAAAATCATAAATACACACGGCATCAGTATATATTTTGTATTTGCCCCACTCGACTCGTAGTCAGTAAATACATAAATATCTTTAAAAAAAATACTATACATAGAACAGTACTACAGTGGGAAATATCTTTTTTTTACATTCAGTTTCGAACATTTTTGTAAAAAAGCAAATAGCCTTCTGCTTCTGCACACAAGAAGAAGAGTAAGTCTCACGACAACATATTTTTTTATCTTTTTGTTTTTTGTTTAAAACAAAACAAGTAGGCATTGACAATTTGACGTTGTTTATTTTTAAATTGTTTCTTTCTTTTGTTTGTATCATTGTATATATTCAGTTTTTTTTAACAAATAATAAAAACTTTTATTGCCTGTATTTTGTGATAAAAATAAAAATGTCTTGTATATTTGTTTTTCCCACAAATACAGCCATTATTTATTTATATATATAAATGTTTTAAATAAAATTTGTATTTGTTTTTTGGTATATTTCTTTGTTTTTTTAATATAAAAAAACAAACAAAAAACAATCGAAGTAAAAAATGAATAGAGCTGGTAAATCTCAAGCTAAATATATAATTTTTTTATTTTACAAAAACAAACCTACAATATGTATTATATCATTTATATGGATGCATTTAGATGAATAGAATGTCTTTATACGGCACTGATGACTATTAAAAAATTAACCACCTCAGGCCCAAATTCCTACCAGTCTCATACTTGAACTTTTTCGAGTTTAATTTGCTTTAAAAATATAGGTGTATTAATGTAATTAGTGTTATTCATAGCACTTGTGAGATGTGTTTGTTCTCTGCCGGTTTGTTTGTTATCTGTCGGCTGAAAGCGCTCGACTTAAAATGTTAGATACTGTAGAGCGGATACAACCCATTTGTTGCACTTATGTTAGGTCGTTGTCAGTCTTAAGGGCTTGACATATGGTAGCAGTTAGACACATGTTTTGTGAGTACTCTACTTAGTAGGTCAGCAAGCGAATATATGGAACATTCGATAGTAACAGTGTTTTGTCAACATCGGTCCGAATTGACTCAGCACATATCTTCCATTGTCGACTCACTTGGCCCAAGCTTCAAACGGGAATTTACTGACCACTTCTTCCTATCAATCTTTCCTGAACCACTACAGCGACTATGAGAGCCATATCATATGTTCATACATTGTATCATACATACTTGCCATTTTTGAAATAAATAATATTATCCCTAACAATAACATTGTACATACAGTATTGTATATTTCAAAACGCTTTAATTGTACACACATTTGATACATTGAGCAATCTAGCTCATATCATGCAGTGTGCTGTGCTAAAAATTGCAAGTATGCCAGTGACTATCGATACTAAAAATTCGGTACATCCCAGACGGTTATGTGTTACTTCTTTCCTAAGAAAAAACCTGTCGAAGAGGATGCAAAAAACCACACCAGCGTTTAATCTGCAGCTGAAGACACCAATACAGAAATCACAGTAGATAAACAAATGTTGCTAGCTTGCTATGGACAACTGGACGTGGATGAATCATTGGCACACCATTAAGATAGTAGATATTGTCGCAGACATGAACCCTCTAGAAAAGAAATGATAATATAAATATGTAGTAGGTCGAACTAACGTCCGAAGGACGGATCCGTAAGATGGTAGTCATCTGCCTTCGCATCGCCTCCTAAAAAAATGTTCTGTTTTTAGGAGGCAATGGCCTTCGCTGGCATCACAACCCTACTGCTAAACGGGAATTTACTGACCACTTCTTCCCATCAATCTTTCCTGAACCACTACAGCGACTATGAGAGCCATTCCATTTGTTCATACATTGTATCATACATACTTGCCATTTTTGAAATAAATAATATTATCCCTACTGCTAAGTAGTTTTTCTTTTCTTTTATCAAAAAATACACTCAAAAGGAGCAAGTACTTTGCCCTGATATAAATTGATCCCACTTTACCCACCGGCCACTGCCCGAAAATGAAAAGACAGTGCAAACTGGGCCTTGACTCAGACTGTAACAACTAACACATACCAGGAGATATGTCTGCTCCGATTATTGTCCAATTCTTGGCATAAACAGGGAAGTTAAAAAAATACAAAAACAAAAAACATAAAAAGTTTGAAACAGGTTTTTTGAACTATATTGTTTGTTTGGAAAAAAAAATGGATTACCGATTCACCGTACAGAATCTGACAGACTGACAATTTTTTTTAGATAAACAAAATATATGCACTCTATGTAAATACTTTTATTTATATAATATTTGGTTCAGATTCGGATGGGGTCATGTGGTTTTTACTATTTTCAAAGATATTTTATTTTAACAAAAATCAACATAAACTTAGGACAGTTTATTTTTAAAAACAATTGGTGATTTGACTGATTTGAGTAATTTTATTTATTTATCTATTTTTAAAGACTAATATCTGAAGATTTGTGTAGTAGTATTTCAACAATTTATTTTTCATTTATAAAAAACAAACAATTGAGGGGCCGGAAAAAATTGGAAATTGAGAAAGTTAATGGAATTTTGTGTGCTTGTGTTCATAGCATTCTGGGGGGGAGAACACCTTTGTACTGAAAAAAGACT